TCCGACGTACCGGTCGCCATTCTCAAGGTGAACGCCCTACGAGTCGAATACAACGTTACGACTGGCGCTTACATCAACGAACGTAAAGTGCACACCATACACGCTAAACACGAGTTGATTCTGACGAGAGCAAAGAGCGATGTCAATGCAATAGTGCAAACTGCTGCGGAAGAATGGAAAGTCGTAGTTCACAAATTGGAATGGTTGATATCGTACGTAATGGTGTCGGATCGACGAAAGATACAACTGCTGAAATTCATCGAGAGGGATGCACCCATCTCCCTGAGCTTCCGTACCTGGGAGCTGTACGAGTACCCTCTACTCCCCACCACTTCGAAACACGTGTGGACCGTCAAGACGTCAACTCAGTTAGAAAAACCACGATACGTGATAGTGGGTTTTCAGACGGGCAGAAAGAATAAGAAAAATAAGAATGCTAGTCACTTTGACCACTGCAACGTCAGAGACGTTAAGCTCCTTTTGAATTCGCAATGTTATCCCTATGGAAATCTGAATCTTGACATTGATCATAATCAGTTTGCCCTGCTCTACGAGATGTATGTAAACTTTCAAGATGCACCCATCTCCCTGAGCTTCCGTACCTGGGAGCTGTACGAGTACCCTCTACTCCCCACCACTTCGAAACACGTGTGGACCGTCAAGACGTCGACTCAGTTGGAGAAACCACGATACGTGATACTGGGTTTTCAGACGGGCAGAAAGAATAAGAAAAATAAGAACGCTAGTCACTTTGACCACTGCAACGTCAGAGACGTTAAGCTCCTTTTGAATTCGCAATGTTATCCCTATGGAAATCTGAATCTTGACATTGATCATAATCAGTTTGCCCTGCTCTACGAGATTTATGTAAACTTTCAAGCTACGTACTATGGCAAGGATCAAGTACGCTCCATTGATCGTTATGGATTGCTCCAAACAAAACGAGTCCCTTAAACTCGGACCCGTCGATATTCGTCTGGAATTCGAAGCGCAAGACAATTTCCCTGCCGATACATCAGCATTCTGCCTGATCCTACACAATCGTATAGTGGAATACAACCTGATCAGTGGTGGGGTGAAGAAATTGGTATAAAGACGCTGTAATCGTAGCCCCCCTGTGCAGTTCATAAAAAATGGAATTTATCGTGGACGTACAAGGTTTCAAGAAACCCTCGAACGAGTTCGTCCTGAAGGAGCTATCCGTGATTGGAGTCGACAACAATTTCTCTGAACCTGCAACGTTCCTGTTTCAACCGCCTTGTCCATGGAAGCATCTACCGGCTAAATATAAAAGTATAAATTTATGGTTGGAGCGCAATTTTCATGGTATATCCTGGAGCGCTGGGGACATTGTTTACAATCAAGCTAGAAACATTCTTCGAGTTATTCTGCAAAATGTATCTAAGATCTATCTAAAAGGATTGGAGAAGAAAGTTTGGTTGGGAGCTTTCATTGGACAAACCGAACACATCGCGGATTTGGGAGATCTGGGATGCCCTTCGCTGCAAAATCTGCGAAAGAACTTACTCACTCGCTGTTCGCATCATCATGCCTCCCATTTCCAATGTTCGATGGAAAACGTTAAATTATTAAGGAATTGGTTGTTGTTGGAATGTATTTTTTGATTGTGAATAAAGACATAAGATATAATAACAAGTTGTATGTATTTATTTACACGTATACATAGTATTAAGAGCACGATTACAAACATTGAAATTCAATCTGATTATACTGCCCACCGAGACAGCGCATGAGGAGTCGATCTTCGTCGGCAGCACGCACCATGTTTTGGAACAAATTGTTATCGTCTTTCAAGATTTTAGACACCCTCGCTGGTAGAAATGTCGAGAAGCTGTTTTTAATGTCGACGATTACTCTCGTTCCGTATTTTGTTTCAACTTTCCGAATACGACTAATCTTGTATTCCTTTTGAATCTCTAATTTCGCCAACTTTTTCGTTGGAAGAAATGAGTCCAAACGAGCCACTTTGTGAATTGTCGAGAAGTCCATTGCGTTCAATTAATATCGAATTTCTTCAAATTTATTAGGAGATTTTTACGACCTCTTCTAGCTTCGATCAACTGTTTGACTTCTGTGATATTTCTTAACAGTAACTGTACTCGAACTCACGTTGTTTCCTCTTATGCGGCATCATCCAAATTGTTGCAGCAAACTAACGAAGGTACGTTCAGCTCCTCCTTTTATAGGAAACTCTCAAGGGTTAAAAAATGGGGATGGGAGGTTTCGCAGATTTCTAGGAATCGAATCGCCTACAGAGATTCGATGTCAAGGTTCATGCATCTTCCGGAATATTCCTTAGCCCTCCGACGACGACGACGACGACGAAGTTGCGTCGCGCGCGCTTACGAGTAATTTGACACCTCGGGGGGGATGAGGGTCCGCATTCTCGACGCACGACTCTGCGAGATAACGTTCGGTATTGCGCATTAGAACAACCGATACATGGATGACTTTGAACTCGCCGGTGCTCTCGCACGAGGCTGGGGGATGGGGAATCCGCGAAGTTTCTCAGTGGGATGAGGAAGCTGACGCGCGACCACTGCGAGATAACGTTCGGTATTGCGCATTAGAACAACCGATACATGGATGACTTTGAACTCGCCGGTGCTCTCGCACGAGGCTGGGGGATGGGGAATCCGCGAAGTTTCTCAGTGGGATGAGGAAGCTGACGCGCGACCACTGCGAGATAACGTTCGGTATTGCGCATTAGAACAACCGATACATGGATGACTTTGAACTCGCCGGTGCTCTCGCACGAGGCTGGGGGATGGGGAATCCGCGAAGTTTCTCAGTGGGATGAGGAAGCTGACGCGCGACCACTGCGAGATAACGTTCGAGGTCAAACGGGCTGAGGGCTGACGACCGAAACCTGCACGCACGTGCACGGGTCCGTCGAAGCTTCTGGAAGGCTTACCGAGGGGGGGCAAGGGGCTGTCTCAAAACGTCGAGCGAGAGGACCGCTGGCTCTGGGAGCGAACCTTCCCGACTTAGCATGGACACGAACCGTCGAAGCTTCCAGAATGTTCTAGCAGGTTCTCGATCGTGCGTAATTCCTAGAATCGAGCGCAAAATTCCCGGAATGTGACGCAAAATTCCCGGAATGTGACGCAAAATTCCCGGAATGTGACGCAAAATTCCCGGAATGTGACGCAAAATTCCCGGAATGTGACGCAAAATTCCCGGAATCGAGCAAAAATTCTTGGAATCGAGGGTTCTGATGACGTCACTTTCAGAAATCGTAGAGCTCACGACGGCAACTTAGCACTGACACCCACCTTCGAAGGCCTGGAGTGTTGGTGTTATGTCGGTGCAGGAATCTATATCCAGAACTCTCCAACTTATACTACTTCCACCTGCACAGCTAAATACGTAGACTACCAGTAGAGTACGGTTTATCTTCAAAATGAAAGTACCTCATTGATCAATCCCACAGTTAAATCGAGTTTAAACAATAAACCATCTTGGTGGAATAGAGTCTGATTTTTCAAACTCCTAGGAATATATACAGAATTACCATAAAAAAGACTTTTGAGTAACTCTTCTATTTAATGAATGAATATTCATCATGAATTAGTTGGCTTATTGCGGTACTGTACTCTCAATGAGCGGTATATAATACATAAATAACAATTGTTTGTGGATGCAATATTCAATATTTTTATTCCTGCGTAAATTGGCTAAATAATTGTCATTTTTTAGTATATTACGTCACTTCATTCAAATGTACAAGAATAATTTGTTGTCATTTTACTTTCAACTAAGGTTAATTGAGTAGTCATCATTTTCATTTTTTACTCATGCAATTTGTACTTTAATCTATGACTCTTGGATTTCTCTTTTGTTCGACGGACTTAACGACAAGGCTCCCGAATTTTCAGGTTTTTGAAAGTATCTCGTATTTTGAAAACTTGCTATAACACTTGCTTCGTTTTCGGTCTCACGTAAATCAGCCTTTATAATGTTTACATTATTTAGCCTCTTAATGAAATTCAACATAACCATTAGAATAACGGAACTCAAGACATTAGAGTGTGACAAATAAGATAAAGAAAACCTACAATTTTAATAACTCCGTATTTAATTAACAAAATTAACGGAAATATTGAAGAAGAAACTAATAACAGTAATATAGATTATAGATGCATCATTTCCATACCATTTGTAGATTCACGATCTTACCAACTGAAAAGGCTTTTTAGACAATACAACATCACAATTATCAATCGCAATGACAACAAAATTAAGGTACATTGGGTACATAAGGTAAGGTACAATTACCACCAAAGATAAAATAGCTTACTCTATCAATTCTAACGTAGTATACAAAATCCCGTGTAAAGATTGCGAAAAATGTTACATAGGGCAAACCGGCAGATATCTTGAAATATGTATCAGACACCACAAGCACGATATAAAGAAAATTGGGGCTTCACATATAGCTCTTACAACCACATAATGGAACATGACCATTAGTTTGACTATGACAATACGAGCATATTAGCAACAGAATCGGATTATCATAAGAGATGCATATTGGAGATGATTAAAATTTTCAAAGAAAAGAAGACAATTAATTACAGAAGTGATATAGAAAATCTTAGCTCCATTATCATAACATATCAAACAACTATTTACATTCATAATTTCATTTGGATTACATAGATTCCAGGAAAATTATAATATAAATTACAACAATGCAGAACAGACGTTTTAAATTGTCAACAAGACTCTTATTTTTGACAATTTGACCTCTAACAGTCCTCTGGACTATGACTCTGCTAATTGGCAATTCTAGTTTATCTACAAAAACTGGTCAGCCATTACGTTTCGAACCAAGGACTGTAACGTCCAGTGAAAACTAAGTGACTGTATCTTCAATATTATTTCGAATTCGTACTTCAATTTCGGCCATATATGGCTTCAGTGATCCAAACATCTCTTGCATTTCTATAAGTTACAAATAAAAAAAAACTATTAATCTCACAATTTAATACCCTTTATATATTGTGACGTATGCCGTCCATCGGCGTCGCCTACAAATAATACGCCACCGTTCCCAACGTGCTGAAATCCGAAAAATATCCGGAATCCGAACTAAATCGGAATGTTGGGTGCCAGGTGCGGAGTCTCCGCATCGACGTTCCTCCTATGGCCGCTTCCTCGCGGTCTCCCGGCTGTTTAACCTCAGCTAGTTGAACTGATAGAGGGGAACATGGGGGCGACGAGAAACGAACAGTTAGGGGTACGCCAATGAAAACGCCGTTTGAAGTTTGAACGTCCGTTTATTCAAATCAGAAAAACGGGGTCATTACAATCCGTCCCGACGCGTACAATAACTCCCAATGGCGAGCGCGGCCCACCTTAACGGCCGCAGGGTTAACCTTTTCCTTCTTTAATCTGCCCTATCAACGGTTCGCGGCCCTACAAAGCTCGGTGGGCGAATCTCTTCCTTGGCAGAGATCTTGGTAGGACAGCGTACCGAACGCCTGGACCACCGATCTCCGCTCGGGCTCGGTGAGGACGACCATTCCGGTTCTTCTTCGAAGGGAAAACGTGCAGTAAGAAGAGCCGCTCTCGGCGGTACTCACCAGTGAATCGACTTATAATCCAAAAAAAAGAATGTGGGTCGATTAGGGGCGAAGGGTTTTCGGCTTCGGCTAGCGTCACTGGTTAACCGTACTTCCGCTCAATCTCGCACCACCTCACACACTGCACAGTTACCCTTCTCCCTTGTGCCCGTGAAAAATCCAAAAATCGAGTCTAAAAGAACATTCACCAGAGTTCCACAAAAATCAGAGTAGTCGAGTCGTCAATGAGAGAAAAGCCTAAAAGAATCGCCGAAATCGTTTGTGAAATTTTCGCACGTGTGCTGTTCTGCCGATTACCGGAAAGAGATTGAATTCGAAAAATTCGAAGATTGCCGAATCCTATTA